CATTATTATTATTATCATCACCGTCATCATCATCATTATCATCATTATCATTATAATCATCATCATCATCGTATCCATTGTAATATGTCTGTGTTTTATTTGCATACATCTCAGAGACTACGCTGACGCCTACTGACCCTGGATGGATAGGAGCATGGTGGCTTGGCTTCATTTTCACCTCCATCCTCCTCCTTCTCGCCTGCGCTCCCTTATCTCTATTCCCAAAGAAGCTGCCAACCACCTCGAAAACGCGTGCCGACAACAATAATGACGTCATCGAAAAAGGCAGCGACGTCATCACAAAATCTGGTGACGTCATCGATAAACGCAATGTTACGAAAACAGGAGATGATCAGCCGGCAGAGAGCGCCACCGGCAGCGCTAAGGAGTCGCTAGTGAGCAGGTTTCTGCAGCAGCCGACCGAGCTGCTGGTAGATATACTGCATCTGTTCTACAACCGGGTGTTCGTGCTGCAGGCGATAGCCAACATGATAGAGCTGTGGGAGTTCCCGCTCAACTTCATGTTTCTGCCCAAATACATGGAGACGATGTTCGCATTCACTGCTGCCAAGGCTAGCAGCGTAAACGGTATGCGCCCCCCCTGGTGAACAGAAATGCAATCATTTCTCACTATCAAGCGTTAACCAGTGATTTCTATCGTCTGCTGTCGTCGAAACCTTCAGACAAACCAAGATGAAATTATCCTGTTTGTCTGCGCGGTTGGCAGACTACACTAACAAACCATTGTTATGGTAGCACGCTCTAAAATATAATGCTTGACAACGAAGTACGGCAGAGTCGACATCATTTGAACGCGTGTAAAACACGTATAAACTGGTCTAGCTTCAGCGACCTAGCTAAAGCTGGGTTTACACTACCGACTTTATGTTGTCAAATTAGCGAGTTGGACCAATTTCGCAATTCGCCAACTCCGAGTTGGCGAAAATAGAACATGTTCTAATCGCCCAACTAGTTGCTATCGACCAGTTTATCTTTAGGAGCGCTGCTTGGTAACGCCATGGTCGGCTTCATCCTCGGCGGCTTCATCTTTAAGAGGCTGCGACCGTCGGTGCGAGGTTACCTGCTGATGCTCGTCATCGCCAACGTCATCAAGATGACCATGATCATCGTCAACATGTTCTCCGCCTGCCCCACGGTGCCGCTCGCCGGAGAGGCGTCCATCGAAGCAGGGTGAGGAGGCCTTATTATTTGGCATCGTCATCATCGTCGTCATCGCTGTAGTCATCGTCATCGTCGTCGTCTTTACTGTTGATATCGTCATATATACTGTCACCACCGTTCTCATTTACACTTGTTATCGTCATCATTATCATAATTATCATCATCTTCATCATCATCACCATCATCATCACCACCGTCATCATCGCTATCGTTATCATCGTCATGTCTGCAGGTATTGCTTGCAGTCGCGCGCCTTCGTAAACAATATATAAAAACGATAACAACGAAATGAACGAGAGATTCTTGCAAATCAGCGCATGAACTGCGCCCACGGTTAGATAATTGTTAAATATTTTTAGATCACTATAATACTTATAGAGATGCGTCGCACGCCTCGGGCGACTGCGGGGTCGCGTGCACGCCCCCCGACCGCTCGATCACCACCTCCTGCCTGTGATCGACCAGCTTCCTGCAACACAGAGAGAGAGAAGCCATGACTATCACTGCTAACTACAGGGTTCTCCTCCAGGCTTGTATCTACAAGCTTCCTGTGACACAGATAGAGAGAGAGAGAGAGAGAGAGAGAGAGAGAGAGAGCAAAGCCACTTTTAAAAACTTTCATCACAACTTTTCTGCTGCAGGCTACAGACCAAGGGTGTTTCTTATTTATTAATTAAAAGAAGGCTTGAAATATGTCATACGCTACTCTTAGTTTCAGTTATAATATGGACGAATTTGTCCTAAAATAATAATTGTTCGGTTAAATAGCAGATAGGTATAAATACAACTGCACTTTTGTGGTTAGCCCTCGGTTTGTAACGTGCAAAATAAATCGCCAGAAGGACAACTTTAGTCAGGGTGGCAGTACAACCGCACCGTAATCATGTTAGCGGCCAAAAATAAAGATTTTGAAACGCACCGTTGTTTTATGACAAATGTGAATGCGTGATTATAGAAATTTGTAGGTATATACTATTATTTATGCACCCACTATAATCTACATCTACATCTATATGGTTACGTCGATCTGTCACTCTTGACAATTACTCAACGGTAATTGCTTGAGTGACAACCAGCTAGTGACAACCAAAAATGCTAGAGTGACAAACAGCTTGTGTCTTTTAGAAGTATATATAACCTTACTGCGAAATTCATAATAGTTTGTTCAATTTCACCAAATGTTTCCTTACAAACCAGACCTCTTAATGTTGTTTATCAAAACCCCAACTAAAAACTCAACCTGAGTGTACCCACCGAGTCACGTGAAAAAAATAGCAAAAGTTTAGTGAAGAATTATGTGTCCCACATGTTCTAAAACCACTGATTAACTCAACATGCATATTAACCCAGCATGCTTACAAACATGCGCAGTGCAGATACTTCCATTACACCTACTTCAGTGGTTACGATTCAAATTGTTAACTAGACAGAGTGCACTCACAGAGAGTGCATACCTCCGCCAGCATGTAACATGTATTTGTTACGAGCTGGCTCGCTGGCTGACGCGCTAATATCGATCGCGCGAACACGACACCCGAAGCACACTAGACTGGTACCCGGTCCTACTTTCGGCTTAGTTACTGCGATGGGGGAAATCGAGGTGGGAGCGAGTTTAAACGCAGTCTCAGACGCGAACAAGCCAAAAAGCGAGAGCGAAAAACATAACCTCGGTGCTCCAACTCCATTGGGGCAGAGGTGATAACTGCTGATAAAATGCAGACGATTTACCTTGCGCTTTTGTGTTCGTAAGCGAGCATGAAAAATTCCTACTATATGGCCCACGTCGGGGCCACCAAAGACTTGACGTGGTTCAGCGTGGTATGATGATACATCATGCTTAATCTACGTGCGAACTTCCATGCGCGGCGCATGTCGGCAGAGGGGTTAGATGTGCTGTCGCAAAAGAGTGCAATCTGAATGAACATGGAATGTCGTGCGATTTGTGTGTATTTTTAACGATGATCGAGGCGAAAGGCCTAAGCAACGCGGTGCGGGTAAAAAGCATAAGAAATGACTTTAAGTCGCGAGTTCTAGCGTGCAGCAACGCGAACGTCCCCTTTTTTCGCGATGAGATAATGATTTACTTAATCAGAGCCGGGTGCTGCTTTGCTCCTTCGGTAGGCGTGTTGTATTGCATTAATCGGATAAATTGTATATACTCAGAAATAACCACTGATCAAGTATTTGGTTG